GGTTTGGGGTCACTCCCTGCCCTATAGGGTCGCTCTCTGCCCTATGGGGTCACTCTCTATGGGTCTCTATGCCCTATAGGGTCACTCCCTGAGGTTTGGGGTCACTCCCTGCGCTATGGGCCGCCCCCTGCCCTATAGGGTCACTCCCTGTGGGGTCACTCTCTATGAGCGTCTGTGCCGTATTTGGGGTCACTCCCTGCCCTATGGGGTCACACTTTGCCCTATGGAGTCACTTTCTATGGGGCTCTATGGGGCTCTGTGCCTTATTTGGGGTCACTCCCTGCCCTATAGGACTGCCCCCTGCCCTGTGGGGTCACTCTCTATGGGGCTCTGTGCCCTATAGGGTCACTCCCTGAGGTTTGGGGTCACTCCCTGCCCTATAGGGTCACTCCCTATGGGGTCACTCTCTATGGGGCTCTGTGCCCTATTTGGGGTCACTCCCTGCCCTATAGGGTCACACTTTGCGCTATGGAGTCACTTTCTATGGGGCTCTATGGGGCTCTATAGGGTCACTCCCTGAGGTCTGGGGTCACTCCCTGAGGTTTGGGGTCACTCCCTGCCCTATGGGGCCGCCCCCTGCCCTATAGGGTGGCTCCCCCAGCCCCTCCCCGGGGTGGGGTCTCCGGGGGTTTTCCCGGTTCCGCGGGCGGGGCCGGGGCTGAGCCGCCCCCCGGGAGCTCCGCGGCTCCTCCCGCGGGCGGCGGCGCCGCCAGCGCGGGGATGGCGAGCTCCGGCTGCCGGTGGCTACCGTGGCCGGCCCTGTGGCTACCGTGGCCGGCCCTGTGGCTACCGTGGCTGGCCCTGTGGCTACCGACGGCCGCCGCTTTTAACCTGGACGGGAGCAGCCCGGTGCTGAAGGACGGCGAGCGCGGGAGCCTCTTCGGAGCGGCCGTGGCGCTGCACCGGCAGCTGAGCCCCGAGCCCGCGGGGTGGTGAGTGCGGGGCACGGAGGGGGCGAGCGGGGCATGGAGGGGGCGAGCGGGGCACGGAGGGGGCGAGCGGGGCACGGAGGGGGC